TAATAGAAAAGACATTCTTATTGAAATGTTTAAATTTCTTAAAGTAAAAATTCTGGCAGCAACTAATATGTTGGAGATTACCAAATTGCCTTAGATAGTTGGTTCAACATTAAAAAACTAATGTAAAAAAATTTTTTTTAGTGATCTCTATCAATTTTAAACAAATTGCGAACAGATACGAGAATAATGTTTGAGTATTAATTTTGTAAAGGAGAAATTGTTTTAAGTTTGTTGACTTGACAAACATTTGTTTTGTTTGTGTGTTTTATATGTAAAATGTTTGGATAATTTTTAAAGTTTGTTGACAAACATTGTTGTTGTTTGTTTTAAATAAAGAATGTTTTTGAATAAAATTTTTTTAAGTTTGTTGACTTGACAAACATTTGTTTTGTTTTCCACAAACATTTGTTTTGTTTGTGTGTTTTATATTTAAAATGTTTGGATAATTTTTAAAATTTATTGAACAATGTTGTTTGCTTTGTTAGTTTTAAATAAAGAATGTTTTTCGGAAAAGTCTAAATTTGTTTTTGTTAGAATTTTGCTTGTTCCTTTCCGGAATACTCCTATTGAAGTGCTGTCGGTTCTCGGAATATTTTCGGATATTCCGAACAGAACCGAAAACCAACCGAAAAAATCCTCATTTCCGAACAGAATTTGATTTGGTTCTTCTCTTTTGTTCCAAAGCAACAACTGCTCAACAAGTTATAAATATTGAAGGATAATTTAATAAAAATTATTTTATTTATTTCTCACCCCTAAATAAAAAAAATTTCAAAAAATATCTTATAATTTAATATTTATTCTTTTAAATATTTTTTATACCAATTTTAAACCCCTTAAAATAAAAAAAAATAGTATTTTTGACTATAAAGACGATCATTATTTTGGCAATCTAAATTAGCCACAATTTCCTTAAAATTATTTTGGGGCTCCTCACATCCTTAATATTTTTATCCTTACATTTGTCCTTCAATAAATAATATCCATTATTTTGTTTTTAAAGTCAATTCTAAAAAAAAAATGTATCCAACATTTATTAGTAAGGTTGTTCTCCGTGCCTGAAATTTAGAATAACGTATTCTCTTAATAGAGCGGTCTTAATAGAGCGGTATTTTAAATCCCGTCTCAAAGAGCCGCTCTAGCAGAGACGGCCGCTCTTAGAGATACGGTATTTCCGAAAATTCCCAGATTCCCTAAAATTCTCGAAATTCGGGGAACCCCAAAGTAGGAGAATTTGAGAAAAATTTCTACCGACCCTCAGGGAAGATTACTTTAATAATTTAAAAAAATTTTTAACGCCCATCCATCCATCACCTCTGGCACTGTCTCCCCGAAAAGTTTCCTAGAGATGGTGAAGCTTTAATTGAGCATTGACGGTGAAAAACCCGGCACTATATGAAAGGAGGTCGATAATCGTTTTTTTTTATTACTTTTTTCCATTAGTTTTTTCCTTCCTTGATATGACAGAATGGTCAGCATTTTCCTCCTTGTTCTATTCCATTATATTCCCTGTGGCATAATCAAAAGAAATGATAGAGAAAAGAATTAATGGAAAGGAGAATGACTCAATACAGGCAATTAATACTTTCAAGGGTCTCCTGTTTTCTTTTTGTGTCGACACACAGACAGACAAAACTCGGACGTACTCGGACAGACAAACACAGACAGACTCGGACAGAAAACACTCGTGTTTTGTCTGTCCGTGTGTGTGTGTTTTTGTCTGTCCTCATTTGAATATGCCACAGGTAAAAAGAGTGGAATTGAACGAGGAAGAAAAGACTGACCATTATTTATAATTAAGGAAGGAAAAAAGTAATAGAAAAAAGTTATGAAAAAAAACGATTATCGACCTCCTTTCATATAGTGCCAAAAACCCTATTTAATAGGTGATTCTACCCTCTTTACGACGGGGAGCAACCAACAAGTGTTGCATCAGCCGGAACCGGAACTTTGCAAAATTAAACTGGAAACGGGAACAAAAAAATCCCGGAACTTCCGGCCCACCGGAACCCGAACCGGGACTTCCTGCGCAATACTACAACCAACCCTTAATTTTTTTAGAATGCTAAAAATATCGAAAATTCTTATTTTTACTTTATTCATCCTAACTTTATTCAACTACCAAATAAATTGTTATATCCTCGATTCGAGCCAATGGATAGCTCCATTTAATAAAACTTCAAGATTGCGAATGTTATGTGTTGATAATAATGAACAATGGGTTATGAGAGAAGGGGAAAATCCTTTAGTATATTTTTTATTTAAGAAATAAATTTTTTAAATTAAAATTAAATTTTATGAGTTTGTGGCTTTATTAATAAATTAATTCAAAAATACATTTATTCTGATTTTAAAGAAAAATACTCAAAAATATAAATTTTGATTTTTATGGGGGCTCATATCGTAAGGATAAAATAAATTGAGATATCGGGATTCCTGACCCAAAATCAAGATTCCTGACCGCATTCTCTGGACTCGAAACGGAAAATCCCTGATGTACATAATAAGGTTCAATTTTACGGGACGGGTAAATATTTTACGGGGAACGGGTGTGCGGAGTATACGAACGGAGGGTCTGGGGGAAGACCTTTCCCAGGAGAATTTCCTGCTCCTGGTAACCGCGGTTGAACCCTAGTACATACTTGATAGAGTAAATCGCATAGAAATTCTAATACATACATTGTGAAAATTATAAAACTCATAATACTTGGCAATTAAATCAAAATTTTTAGGTATTTTTGATGGCATAAATCAGAATTTTGAATTAAAAAAATTTTTTTAAACAATTTTAGGTAAACAACCTAATCAGGCACTATATAATGTGCAACCCAAAATACAAAATTGTTTTGAAAACAAAAAAATATGAAGGGCTTGTTTGGCTAATGCAATCATTAGCGTTTTGTAGTATTCTCGAATCTACACAGAAAAAGCTTCCATATGGAGGGCGTTCGCCTGAATTTCATAGAGATTTTCAAATGAATTTGTTGAAGGCGGCATTTGCACTTGTTTGAAATTAAAAAATTTTTTTCCTACTTTTATGGAGGAATTTTAAGTAGCCCCCTTTAAGTCCTCAACCTATAGGCAGTATTTGGAATTTTGAAATTTTCTCGTACTCGTAGCTGCCTAATTTTTTGCTCGTACTCGTACACAGGTATGAGTACAAATTTTGGTACGAGCTTCCAAACACTGCCTTATAGGTAATAGATGGTTGGTGTGTAAAAGACAACCCTGGTTTGGGTCCACCGCTTTGAAAATAACTTAATTAGGTGTTAGACATCTATTTTAGACAACAAGGATTTCACTTTTTAGAGAATTTCTAATAAAATCCTCTTTCAAAAATATAATAATCACTACTAGGTGTAAACTTAAATATTGGCAAAAAAATTTTATATAGATAAAAGAATAAATATATTTTTAAATATTGAGTACAAACGTTAGGAGCCTGAAAACTAGAAATCGGAATTTTGTTCCGTACCGTATTCCATACCGTAATACCGAAAAATACCGATACCGAAAAATACCGATGAAATTCAAAATGTTGCCGTACCGTATTCCGTACCGTATTACCGACTGTAATACCGATAAATACCGAGAAATACCGACAAATACCGATATTTTTCATCGGTACCGTATTCCGTACCGTATTTTTTTTTAATTTTTCCGTACCGTATTCCGTACCGTACTACCGATACGGAATACCGATAAAACTGAAAACCGATCTCTACTGAAAACCAATAATTTTCTTATCATATTCCTTCTATCCAGTAGATTCTTCGATTAAAAAATCAAAAATGGTTTCTAGAATATTCCCTCATGCTTTAACTTAAAGCTTAATCATTCCAAGTTATCAACTCTTGCAGGTATGTAAACGAACAGACTATATTGGCCGTTACCATCTTTCTTCATATGCTGAAGTATTTAAGGTAAAACCTCAATAATTATAAAATATCCGGATAAAATGGTCAAATTTCAAAAGGGTCAAATTACAAAACGCCCAAAATATTTTCAGATACTGTATGAGCGAAACAACTCCAACAGAAAACACGTTTGTGATCGGATGGTGCTACAAGAAGCTGATCTATTCAAACGATGTCAGGTACTAGACACGCAAGAAGAAGAGAAGCAGCAAGAAATGGAGCAATTTAGAAAAGTTTAAAATTCAGATTTAATTTAAAATTTGAATTTTAAAACCAGAATTGCATAGAACAAAATAGTAAAAAAGATGCGGGGCCAAATATGACAAAAACTGAGTGGTGGACAACTACTGTATTGAGCTCAAATAATTTTTTCACTCGATTCTCTCAATTATGTGAGGGAAGGCCTCGCTATACTTTTGACCAATTTATTGAAATTAATAGTAATACTAATGCTGGGATGGGGCAGGCATTGGCAAATGATATTCTTTTTATGAATGGAATTAGGTGATTAATAAATACGTATGGTCTAAATTGCTATGGTCACGTTAGGATTAGACTAAATTATACATTGTTGTGGCTCTGTTAAGTCTAAGAAGAATTGTGGAGAGAAGATCAAGTCCCTATTGAACTAGGTCCCTTTTGAATAAAGCCCTCTTGAACTAGGTCCCTCCTGAACAAAGCCCTCCTGAACAAGGCCCTCTTGAACTAGGACCTCTTGAACTAGGTCCCTTTTGAACTAGTGGAGGGAATTGTTCAGATTTGAACGTGTCCCTTCTAGGCGGGAAGGACTTCGACTCTCCTGCCTAGTATGGATGGTGGAGAGACATTTAGAGGACTGAGCGTACAGACAAATTGGAGGATCGTTCGGACTAAAACATAGGGTGGAGGGAACATATTCCCTTTGAACTAGGGGGATGCGGGGGTCTTTTACATATTAGAAGAGTTTGAAGTCAAGTTCGGATTAGAAAGTAGGGTGGAGGGAACCTGCCATCTTCGGACTATAATAATTTTTCAGCAAAAATATTTTTCAGCAATTATTTAAAAGCAAAAATCAAAAAGAGAAGTCTTCTTCCTTATTTGGTAATGAAAACACGCCTTCTACTTCAACACTTCCCCTTAGCCTCAATTTGGGTAGCCCCAAGAATTGAAAAGGCTTATAGATGCAAAATGCTAGCTGCTAACGAGCAATTTCAAGAGGACTATTCCGAAAATTTGGTTAATACAGTTATCGAAAATTCGAATTATTTAAATGGAAGTAATAATACGAATAGTTTGAATAATTCTTTTGGGGGGTTTAATGAAGATATTTCTTCAACTGAACAACAAACAGCGGTGGTTTATGAATGGAAAAGTGAGGACCATCAATTCTTTGCTGAAAACTGTCCTATTGCTGATGGGGGGTTTACTGATGAATATTTAACTGAAGAGACTGTTAGGTGAATATTTTTAAATTTTATAACAGGGTTATGAATCGGAACCTTGCATGGAACATGCTCCTTTCTGACTAGATAGTATTGTGAAGAAATACCCCCTCTGTCCGTTTGTTTGTTTCCTTAGGCCAGAAAAATTTCTACTTAATATATAAAATTTCCTTGATAATTTTAGATAAGATTAAAATTTAAATGAAATACTTGTTGAATTCGTCGATTCGTTAGTATTTTTGAATGGAGCAAATTAGGATGCTCCAAGTCTTTTTGCCACAGCTTGATGAAGCAAACCCAATTCTAACGTTTTGAGTAAAGCCTAACACCTTAATCACTCGGACAATTGTTCATATAAGAGTGATTCAAACAAATTGAACACATTTCTTTGTATGTTTCTAGTAATACAAAGTACGAGTTTTGCTATTACGACTACTTATGAACACTGTTAGTAAGTAGGCAAAAGGGAATATGCTTCCCTGGGCAGGGAAGTAGGTAACTCTTGATAAGTCTGACTCTTGATAAGTCTGCAAAATTTTAATAATAATAATTTTTAGCGATTTTTCTTGGCTAGCTTCCCAAGCCCGTCTTGGCCTAGTTATTGAAATAGGCCTTCTATTTGGCATTGTATTCAACACAACAATACTTTCCGCCCTTCTATACCAAATTAGACACAATTTATCAACAGCAACAATTTTATTTATTTTTCAATATTTTATTTTCCAATGTTTTGTTTGTGGCTTCTTTTGTCTGTTTATTTTCTAATATGTTATCTGACAGTGATTATCAACAAGAAAAACCGAATGAGGATGTAAGGAATGTTTTAGTGAAAAGAAATCCTTATCAGACAGAGAACTTCCTCTCATATTGATCATAGAAATTTTTTTTGATAGTCTAGGATCATTACGAACTACATAGGATATAGGGTGAAGGGAACGTTCCCTTCACACTAGGAAGGAGGTCCATGTACACTAGGAAGTAGGTGCATTTACACTCGGAAGTAGGTCTATTTACACTAGGAAGGAGGTCCATTCACACTAGAAAGTACGTTGCCTAAGTTGTAGAAGATTGACTTGGATTGTCCTTTCACACTAGGATGGAAACTGAAGGGAACGCCAATTTGTTATAGGAGGTTGGTGAAGGGTCATGCCCCTTCACACAAGAATGTAAGCTGAAGAGACATTCCTTTTGTTTGTGAGTTTAGCTGAGTATGCCCCTTCGGACTAATATGTAGGCAATGGAAGGGCCGGGTTACCCTAAGCCTGATACACTGCCTTTTTTGACTCGAAACCCGATCTGGAGATTGGAATTCTCTAGGAGATAGTCTGGAGACCTTCAATCCTTTGATTAAATAAAATTCTCCTCCCCTCCACTCTTTCAGCAACAACAACAAACAACATCAAGCTCAACTGATGATGATGAACGACCTCCTTCTGCTGCTCTTTATATTGGGTAAGTTCTTCTGATCTAAAATCATTTGTCGTTGTTTAAAGCGAAATGCTTCAACACCATTTATTCAAACCTTCAGAATTTTTGAAGAACCTGCTTCAAGAGACTTTGCTTTCACTTGCACAGAATGGCTCTCTTTTAGGGTTGACTCATCTTCTTGTACTCGTTCTACTTGTTATTAAAAGGCGAGAAATTTAAAACATAATTGAAATTAAATTTTCAAAATTCCAAAATGTCAATTTACAAAATATCCAATTACAAATTGCCCCATGACATAATGTCAAAAATATAAGTTTATTTCGTAAAATTTCATAATGAGTATCATCAGTAATGTGGAAATTCCAAAATTTTGCCGGTTTTAGTTCCGGAACTGTAACTGGAACCATCACTGCTGAACATTATGATTAGGGTTGCCAAAATAAACTGACTTGGTCCGAAAGATTAAGTCAGGCATATGATATTTGGCCTGAAGAAGACTCCTACGGCCTGACTCAATAGAAACAAGCCCGAGAAAATGCCTCGACTGCTGGCACTACCCAAAAGCGACCCAAAAGCTCTAATTAGAGCTACCCAAAAGCTGGCACTACCCAAAAGCGACCCAAAAGCTCTAATTAGAGCTACCCAAAAGCTGGCACTACCCAAAAGCGACCCAAAAGCTCTAATTAGAGCTACCCAAAAGCTCTAATTTTGGCAAAATTGGAGACAAACTTTCCAAAAAATAATTACTATTAAAACGTAATCAAGCTACAGTGATTTCAATTTTTAGAGGATTTATTATACAATCCTCTTTCAAAAATATAAGACTTAGATATAAGGATAACTTAAATTTTCTGAAAAAAATTTTTCATAAATAAAATAATAAATATATTTTTAAATATGAAGTAAAAACGTTGAAGAATTTACTACTACATATTTACTTAAATAAAAATCTAACAACAAGCTTTTATATTTTAAGAAAAAAATAACCTCAAAAAAATAATAATTTCGAAAATCGAAAACCGAAAAATATTTTTTCAAATGGAAAATAATTTGTAGGTATTTGTTAGGCTCTATTTGATTTTATGGGTCCAATCGAACTTTATGAGTCAATCTACCGTAATCCCTCATTATGATAGTGAATAAAAAAAATTTTTTTATGAAAATTTTAACAGATCTATGGACGGAAAAGGAATTCGGCTTTCTAAACGTTATGTAATTTGCCTATTTTCTTGCGTCTGGTTTGTACTAATTATCTCGCATATTTCATTTTCTGCTCTGCAATATTTTGCTGTTTCTGAATTACATCGTCTTCTGAACCAGTTAAAAACGACTGTTGGGTTTTATCTTTGCAATCGGTAATTGAACTTGTATTAGTAAAATGTATGACAAGCACTTTTGGAACTTTCAAACTAGAAAGTCGGGTGTAGGGAACATCCTTTTGAACTCTGGAAGGTGTCCCTTAGCAATAGACTGGTTGGTACATTCTTTCACATCCTAAGTATGCTGAAGGGTCTCTTCGCTCTAGAAAGTGTCTGGAGGAACATGCCTCCTTTCATACTAAAAATGAGGGAGCATGTTTGAAGGGGACAGTCCCTTCGCTCTAGGAAGTGTCTGGAAGGAACATACTTCCTTTCATACTAGAAACGAGGGAGCATGTCCCTTCGCACTAGAATGTAGTATGAAGGGAACATGTACTCTTGTAGGACATGCCTCTGTAATAAAAGTACTGAAGTGATCATCTTATACTAGTTAAGGAAATGGACATGTCCCTTCGCATTAAGAACTAGCCCAGAGAGTTTTAGCACAAACTTTTCTCATTTTACAGGAACGATCGCTACTCCGTATTTAACGAGATTGGAGAGCGTTGTGATTCAATCTCCGTATTCCACGATTTTGGACATTTTTTACTTAGAGGGCATACTTTATTTACTCTTTTCTTCCTTTTTGTTTCAATAGCAATATTTTTGGCTACAATATTTTGCCATTGGAGAGTGAATTTGCAACATGATTTTTTGAATTCGAGGAATTCAGGGAACAGGAGAAAGCGGTGATTTTTTATACAGAGAGGATTCAACCAGAAAATAAAACCTTTCTTTAGCGAGCACAGCCCTTATCGTCGACGTGAAACTCTTTTTAATACGCTACTCCTTTCTCTTGGGGCATTTTTCATCTCTGTTTCTGGCCGAAGCTTTATAGAGATTGCTGTCTTTTGGGTTAGTGATAGGAGGGATGTTACTCGACTAGCTGCTGCTTATCAGGTGAGAGAGCCCTAGATTTATTAAATTAAAGTTTGTAGAGAACATGGCTCTTCAAACAAAGATTAGGCAAAAGAGAACCTGCCTTTTCAATTGAGAAGTAGGCTCGACTTAATAGGTTCTGGTTGGAGTAGTGAGAAGTATGTATAAAGGGAGTCGAGTTTTGAGCGGAGAGAGCAAGCGAAATGACACTACATGTTCCGTTCGGTCTAGTAAGTAGGCTGGAAGGTCATTTAAACCTAAGAAGCTAGATGGTAAATTTATTGGAGAACTTGCTCCATAAGTAATCCATAAGTAATCAATCATGTGAACATGTACCGTTTTCTTGTGGGAACATGCCCTTTTGAGCTAAGAAGGGAGAGTCCTTCGTAACTAAGATGTGAGAGATTTTTTCCTGGATCATGAACTCAATAACACCACTTTTAGGGATTAGGTATCTGGGCATTAAATAAAGTAAAGTATTTCAGTTGTTCCGAATCGCTGCGTTTATTGATCCATTACTGAATCCACTCTTAGTGGCTGTCAGAACCCCTGCCATACGTCGAAAGCTCCGTCACCATTTTTATTTAACCCTACAAATATTTTGTGCAGTATTTTGTCCTTGTTGGAGAAAACAATTACTACTACCAAAGCACAAGAGGGGAAGAGATTCGGTTCTAGTAGCGAAGCGAAGACGCCAGACAGCCTCACTCCCCTATGGTAGACCTATTTCCATGATGGCTGCACGTCGCGCTTCAGTTGGCTCCTATTTGAGTTTTAATGGGTCTGAGACTGGAAAATGTGGCAATTTTTGGTTGCTCTGCTCCGGAAGGGTGAATAAATGATCCTTTTTAAAAAAATTTCGTTCCTAGTTTATTCGCAACAAATTCCAGCGCAAAGACAGTTGTGCTACTCAAGTGAATTCTGTGGTGTGAAATTAGAAGGAAAATTTAAAAATGAGATTACTTTTGGGAATGATTCAAATTTGTTCCTTTTTTGGATATTAAACGCTCCCCTCATACCATAATACCTTGGAATATTTTCAAAAATTATTAATTGGCATTATGATATTTATCAAATAATATTTTATTTTGAATATTTTAGTTCAATATTTCGTTGATAAAACTGTATTTTGCTAATTTATTTTCAGATTTATGGCGCGGGATCCACCTTAATTCATCCTGATTTTGGAAGGATTTTGGAAGGCCAGTTTGGCTAGTCACATAACTGGCCGATATGCCAGATTTTTGGAAGGCCTCAAGTATTAGTAAATCCTCAAGTAAAGCAAAGCAATCCTCAAGTAAAAAACACACATTGTCACTCAAGCCCGCTTACAACCACTCTACAATAGATCGGTCTACAATAGAAAAAACTCTACACTCTACAAAAACTCTACACTCTACAAAAACTCTACACTCTACAATAGAAAAAAAAACAATAGATACTCGATTTGGATCCAGGAAAAATCCAGATCCAGACCGATCTCTCACTCTACATTATTTTCAACATTAATCAAGTTTTTAATTTCTGGTTGACATAAAATTAAAAAATTGAAGTGTGAACAAGGTACTGAAAATCATTCTTAATTTAATGTATCAAGAATCAAAAATTAAAATCTTTGATTTTTAGTTGTTAATTTTTCTTAATTAGGAGTCGTCATTAAATTTTTATTGAAGAATGGCCAATCCAAAATTTGAGCCAAAAATTTTGATTTTTGGTCAAAAATAGATTTTAAATTTAAAATTTTTAATTTAAACGAGATAAAAATTTAAAAATCCCCAAAACATTTTTTAAAAATTATTTTTAATTTTTATTAATTTTTGGCTTATCCTCTCCCCATGCCATCGAACGTCATTGCTTTCAATTTAAATTTTATTTTATTTGTTTATTCAGCATTTTTAAATTTTTCTTTTCATATGTAGGTATTCAAGCATGTTGCTTATTTTATTTAAATTAATTTTTAAATATTGAGTATTTTAAAATAAAATTAAAAAAAAAGATTTTTTATTAACGATTTTTAAATAAATTTTAATTAAATAGTATGTTAAAGAATATATTTAATTTAATTATTTTATTAATTCTGTTGAATTTTGTATATGGACAAAATAAAGGTATTTAAATTTGATTCTATTAAGATTCTCCCTCAAATTCAAAAGATATACATGTTCCGTTCAGACTATAAGGTAGGATGAAAGGGAACGTGTTCCGTTCAGAGAGAAAGTAGGCTGAGGGTAACATGTTCTCTTCGGACTAGAAGTAGGCTGGAAGGAACATGTTCCGTTCAGACTAGAAAGTTGTCGCGAAAGGCGACTTATCTTTTTACCATTTTGTCCCCTGTCTTTTTATTAAAAATATTTATTTTTAATTTTCCCCTTTTAATCATGCTTATTCATAGAAAAACGCCTACTTTCTCAAATTCTTTAAAATTCACTTTGTACTTTTGTGAAAATTCTATTTTTCTTTAAATCCGCCCCTTTTTTCTGACTATATATAATTTTGGGCTTTCTCAAATATCCAGAGCTCTTCTAGAATTTAATTGTGTTTAAATAAAGTTCCTTCTTCTGTTTTTTTAAAAGTTTTTAATTTTAAATAAAAGTTTGTTTAAAATTAAATTAATTTTGTTTAAAATTAATTTTATCTTGTTGGGAATTTCTTTCCCAACAAGTGGTGCCGCTAACAGGGAACAAAATGGTAAAAAGATAAGTCGCCTTTCGCGACAAAATGGTAAAAAGATAAGGCTAATGGAATATCTCCCATTATCCGTCATACTATAAGAATTAGTATCCTTTCTAACCTAAGTTAGGCTTGTATGCTCCGAGTGCACAAAGCGGCATCTTGGTATTGGCAAGAAGCATTTTTATATTAAATTATTCTTATAATTATACAGGAAAACCAAAAAGTAATGGAAAAATCTATCAGACAAACATAACAAACTTTTTCGATCAATCATATACGATCAAAGTATCAATAGGTAAATTATTTCTTATACAAAAATTAAGGACGAATCCAAATTTTGCTTCAGTTCAATCTAATGCTGAGTAAATAATAAATCCAATGATGGAAAAGGACGGAAAATAACATACGGAAATACGAAGCAAAAAATCTTATTTAAAGAGTACATCAATGAGTAATTTAAACAAATGAAAGGGTAGTTTCCGGAAAGAAATTTAATTTTAATTGAATATTTCATAGTTAAAACTAGAGTTGCACGAGATCGAGATTTTAGAAAAAATCCGAGACCGAGATTGACCGAGACTCGCATGACCGAGACCGAGACCGAGATGCAAAATTTGACCCGAGACCGATATCGAGATCCGAGATAAACCGAGATTTCTCAAAACTTTTTTTATCCACCAAAACCCAACCAAATTAATTAAATACCATCCAAATCATCATCAAAATCATCTGTGTCATCCAGGGTGGCCTTTTCCAAACCACTAAAATAGGGCGCAGCCACTCAAAAATGGGTAAAAAATAGGGCGAAATTGGTCAAAAATAGTGCAAAAAATAGGGAATTATTTTAAAAACGTAAAAAGAATTAAAATTTAAATAAAAAGCTTTATTCCGCATGTTCTCCACTAGTTTTAATTTAATTGATCAGATCAGGATTAAGCTGTTTCTAAAGAAATATATTTCGAAAATTGTAAATCGATAAAGGTTAAGAAGCCAGATATCTTTCCTTTTTAGCGCCGCATGTGAAAATTTTGAGGGCTGTCGGTTCTGGACCGAACCGAACCGAAGAACCGATAATTTTTCGTGTCGGATACGGTTCAGTTGCGATATCCGAAAATTTTCCAAGAACCGACAACCTTACTCTTGAGACTTTGAATTTTGAGAACCTAGTATTGATCAGTTCTCTAAGGGTGGTGATCTAATGTCTTTCGGACGGTTTTTTCGTCTGGGACTGGTCACCCAAAAATTTCATTAAAAATTTCTTTTGTAAAAATTGAAGTATATTCGTCTAAAATTAATTTTTTACATATTTAAGGTACACCCCCTCAAATTTTTAATGTTCTACTGAGCACAGGGAGTGCTGATTTTTGGGTGACTGCTTTCAATGTCTCGACAAATAAGCCTCGGTTCTTCCCTCAAAATTCTTCAACTTTCTCTTACCCGAACCCCCAAAAGTATTTGAACCTTCCCAGTATACAAGGAATTGTTGGTGTTGATACAATACAGGTTTGGTTCAATCAAAATTGGATAGGTCTGAAAAATTTTCTGAACTGATATTGAACCATGGCCCTGACGTATTTTAAAAATGGGAGGGCGGAAGAAAATAAAAAAACGGAAGCAGAAGAGAGCCCATCTCTGCTTTGAACATTCCTTTGTGGTTACTAGGGGGAGCAGGCCAACTTATCGCGAGCCCAACTTACCGCAGAGTTATAACTTCGTTCAGAATTATCACATCCACGACACATTATCAAATCCGGGACACCATGGCATGGCTTGATGCGCCTCGACGAAATGAATCGAACCAAGGCGTCCCGGATTCGACCATTTTGAACAAAGTTATAGATCTGTGGTAAGTTGGGCTCGCGGTAAGTTGTGGTGTACCAGATTACTGGGGCGGTCTACCTGGAAATACTACAATAGCTTGGATTAAGCAGCTTCCCATAGCTAAAGAGAGGGCTAACATCCGATTTGGACTTAAAGCTTTCAGCAGATAATTTTCAGACTGGGAGAAAACTGGTATAAATCCTAATTTTTTTAAGTTTGCCGGATTGAACCAATCTAAACTAGAATTCAGTTTTGCTGATATAATTGATAATCAAACACTTGCTCAGCCTTTTGATGGTGTTATGGGGCTTACATTCCCTGAACTAAGCAAGTCGGCTACAATAAATCCACTCATGGCTGCTATTGATAATAGTAAGTACTTACTTCCATCATTATAAAATCTAAATGGTAGCCTATACTCAATGCCTCTCCAATAGTCTCAGTTGCCCCACTTTCTGGGCGGGTTAGTAAAAAGGTAGGAATACCTGGTAAATTTACACGATTTGTCGCGAAGCGACGAAGGATGAGGAAAATAAGATAAATATATTTTTATAATTTTAATTCTAAATTAATCATCACTTTTTTGCAAATTCCTTTTTCGGACTTTCACCTGGCTAAAAATCATTTTTTGCTGTAAACATCTATTCAAACTCTATTTACATTTTTAGTCCTTTTATTTTAAAACTTAACTTTATTTTCCACTCTTTTGTATTATTCAAAACATGTGCATTTTATTTAATCGTTCCTATTATGTTTTTAATGATCGAAATATTTTCTAATTCTACCCGCCTATTTTTCTGGCCTATATAATCTCCCCTTCCAAACCCCAATTAGCTTGGTGTTTTCTTTCGCAGCTTCTTTCTGGGTTAGCTAGCTTCTCACGCTCATTCTGTTTGGCTTGCTTCTGTTGGTCTTATAGCTCTGGTTCCTATTTGTGGCCTTATCATTAATCTAATTGTTGGACTATTTATTTGTGTGAAATAAACCTTTTACTATTTGTTTGGTTTTAATTTATTTGGTGGTCAAATCCCTCGGCCAACTGTGTTGGAATCTTTTGGCCTAATCCAAGCAAAAGCTTTTGCTGAATTAATTTGTTGGTACTAAACCCTTGGCCAATTGTGTTGGAATCTC